CCAGGGCAGCACACCTCGTCGAGAGCAATTAAAATGAGAGGATTCAATTTTGTCAAACACCAGGAACCTCAGATAAATCATGTATCTCATTTTCCAGTGCGGGATACTCCCTTACATCGGTGCTATCATGTTTGTTATGGTGTTTTTAAGACACAGCTGGCTACAGAGTTGGAGAAACGGCCCCCTTTCGCAATTTCCTGCTAATCCCGATCGTTTCAGGGAGAACCGGTGCTGGGAGAACAACGGCCTCAAACAGAAAATCATGCCCCAGCAAAAAGGAAGAAGAGAGGGGGGAGCATGCCAGCACGTTGCTGCGTCGTTTCCATGTGGGAGAAATCCACTTACATTAACTGATAAAGATTTAATTAACACAAGACTCTGCAATTACTCCATAATTAAAGTCATTTGGCCCCTTGTTTGGATGAGTAGGCAAGACGCCGCATGTGAGCCTCTGTAAGAGCAGAAGACCAAAAGCAGGACATGAGGTGCTCAAAGAGAAGCTTTAATGTTTGAATTTAATGCTTGATTTTCCAAACCTCTGCAGCCAGCATATGTTCAGATAATGTATTCGTCTCTGATTATTTGTCTTTTATTCAAAAACTCATTTGTTATTCATTGATATGTAATAAGCTGAATGGCGTGAGTACAAAGCATCATCAAGAACCACATGAAATAGCAAATAGGCTTGATTTAATCATAATCCTCTTCAAACTGAACTGCATACAACTTCTGATTATCTTATTCTATTGCTACAACAAAACGTATGGATTCTGAAACAAAAGTTCTGAGTGACTGTCTCCCGTTAAAAAATGTATCTGGTTCTTACAAACTTCTTACAACCTTGAAGTACTGAGAAATCAGTTGCAACCTGGGCTGGGGTTGCAGATGCCCTGCAAAGGGTGGTGAGGGGAGCTAAAGGAGTTATAAAAGTGTTACCCCATAACTACTGTCTGGAATACATTCTCAATCAGAGCTGTACGCTGTTACAGACTCCTCACATCATCTCCATACATTTTTTTAATCAGCTGCCCTCAGGTAAACAGTACAGCAACAATGACAACAGAACCAACATAACAAACGGCTGTACAGCTTGGTGTTACTGATTGCACTTATGATTCTTTTACTTAATCTGTGCTTTTAGAAACTTGATTTCTGTAATGTATTCAAGGATTTGTTTGTTCTGTTTTTTGTACTTTTTTATGGTATATAATACACTGGAAATAAGATTGTTTCTGTTACTTGTAGGTCTAGACGTGCAAATCATAGAAATCATACATAGATGCTCCGTGGACAGGGTCTGCCTATGCTGTGGATGACACAGAGCGTCCGCCATGTTGAATGTTGCAAATCTGCTGAAAGACTCAGACACTTACAGAGTATCAGAAGGACTTTAATCTCAGAATATTTTTTATATTCATTATATATTTTTTTTCTAATATTACAAATTTTCTTTGTATCCCTTTGGCTTCATTCTCCTGACTTTATTTTTGTACAGAATAAAAATTTAAAAAGGAATCTAACCTGCCCTAATACTCCAAGACTAAAATAGTTCTACAAACTGTGACTATTCTGGAAATGTTCACCCTTGATTCTCATAATAGGACAGTTTTCTTAGAATGACACCACTTCTGTCTTCTTTTTTTATTTACTTCTTTGTCCTAGGACTTTTTTTCCACATATTTTATCTCTTTAACATTCCAACAAATACTCTGTTGCTAATCTATGTCTATACAAGATCTTAAAAGATTTACAGGTGACACAGTTCATGAAATAATAAAGACCAGAATGTTTATATATATATATACTGTATATATATAGAAACATCTATAATCTTGAGAAATACTTATATATAATCAAACACCTATTTATTTATAAATCTATATAAATGCAAAAAATCTATATATGCACATCTATATCTAAAAATAACATGTACCGTATTCAAGCAAAAAACCTTGGAAAGAATGGTCTTGCACAGCCAGTCGAAAGACTTTGTGTCACATACAATATGGCAGTGACGTCGACATGCGAACCTGCATCCAACGAGGCATCTACGTATATATATATATATATATATATATATATATATATATATATATATCTGTGTGGTGTATATAGAACTATTCTAATATGGAGTACCTTTATCTGAGCCTTACCTTTGCAACTATGATTGTTTCTTTGCAGAGATGTGCTTCCACTCTAGTCTTTTTTTTTTCAAGCCTCTAACAGATTGTCTTCCACCCTTTATTTATCCGACCCAACTTCATATCAAATCCGAGCCTTTTCACAAATTCAAAGAAAAGGAATCCCAGCAGGATGATACTGCCCCCACCTTGTTTCGCTACAGAGTTCTTAAGGGAGGTGTGTCATATTAGATCCTCATCAGTGGGTTGCATGGGGGCCCTTAGCAGACGGATTTGCCTTAATCAAGTAAAGTTTTGCCAAACTCCTTCACACCTGATTTATTGAATGGTTTTATTTCCAGGCTTCTTTAGCACAATCAAGTGAAGTGCAATAGCTAAATCATTTTATTAACCCGCTGGGCTGGGATTGTTCTTTCTTATGCATGACACAACTTTTTGTCGTTTATCATTTTTCTAGTGGAAAATAACTAAAGTATATCTCTTTATGTAATTATAAGGCAGCTCTAGCTTATGTACATTTATGAAGAGCAGAATCAGTCCTGCATACAAACTTTCAGCACTATTCCACTATATTTGCATAACCCTGCCCTGCTTAAGGCAGAGGAGTCACTGAGTGATCCCAAAATTAGCATGCTGTCACCTTCGCTGTCTCTTCTGTCATTCAGCAAAACAGGCAAGTGTGCAGACATGTGAACCCATTTCCCATCTGCTGGAGAAATGTTAATCAAGACGCATGCCACAGCACAGCTTCAGTCCTCTGCCTGCGCCAAACTGACATGCAGTGTATTTAAATCGCTTTCATGTGCCCTTATTATAGGGGAGATGGAGTCAAATAGGAATGATTGGAAATGGCATTGTCAGCATCTAGTGTTTTTTCTCTTTAAGGGATTTGAAAAAAATAAAGGGAAAACATGGCTTAACGCTGTATGTATGCATCTGGTATTTCATGGGAATATGATAGGAGATAAAAAGGGTATGAAAGCACTCTATAATTAAATTAAGTGTAAAAAGCATCTAGAATGTAAAAAAATCATCTGTAATAGCTTTAAATACACAGCTGACATGCATCTCCTTTAGTTGATTATTTGCTGGATTTCCTTTAGTCGTGTGCAGTTTCTCTTATTTCTAATGTATTTGTGATGGATTTATGCAAACACATAAAAAAACTTTGATCTCTTTTCTTTGGCTGTTGGATGCCTCAGGGCGCAGCGCCAGCAGCTCTATTGTTGAGGAAACAGTGCCCTCTTGTGGCCTCTGAGAGAAATGCGCACCAAGGAGAAAAGATTCTTACAAAATAGGAAAAAAAATTAAATAGAAAGACAACAAACTTCATGAAAATTGTCTAGCTTATCTGTGGTAAAATATCCCGATAGAGCTATCGACATGTAAAGCCAGGGCTTGCAACCAAGATAGTGGGTACAATGCTCACATAGATGCATGATGAAACACATGTGTAACTATGATTAAACATTACTGCTGTGTTGGCTGAGTGAACAAGGCACAGACATCTGGAGTTCAAAGGCAAAAACCAACAAATCTTCAAATGCAAACAGCCCTTTAAATCAGTGGATCAAACTCCCTGCAGCCCCTCACTATTAACCGCAAGTTTAAAACACAAACTGACAGTCAAAGAAAAAAAAAGCTCCAAGTCACTGCTGTTTTTTATTTAAAAAATATCTTTATTTTCTGCAAAGGAGGCCTCAGGAGCTTCAGTGTGTTCTATGGCTTGTGTACAGAGTTCCTGCTGGGGGGAAGAAAAATACAAATTTCATAGAAGGAGCCCTTGGGAGAAACTGCAAGCCCCACCCATGTTTACCAAGGAGGAATGTTTGAGGCGGCTACGCTGCAGCTGTTACAGAATACGGTCTCTAGCAATGGGCACAGTGTTTGAGCTTAAAACTGTTAGAGGAATGCTACTGTAGTTCCTGGCTTAGTGCATCACCCTGCATGGCAGATACATAATATAGACACAGAAAAGAGATTTCTTAGTGGTATGAAAGCTCAGTAATGCTGCATAATTAGATGAGGAAACATCGCAAATAAAATGTAAAAATGACTAGACTCACATTTGTCATGTATAGCGTAAGAGACCTTACTCATGGTGGGATTTTTTTTTTAGTTTCAGTGATACCTGAGTGGATTGTATTCAATATAATTCAGTTCTTTTAATGCTCTTGCTTTTGATAAACAAGCAGATTTTCACACATTGGAAGAGTGTAAGCCAGTTCTCCCAGTCATCGCTTTCAGTTCTGCTATTTTTGTTCTGGACAGTTTAGCTGATCTGAGCACAATGTAGTTCACTAAATGTGACAGACTGTGATAAAATCAATGACCCCCAACAGACATGGTTCCTCCACATTTTCCATTTTAAAATTCTTCAGATTTTGAAACATCTCAAATGAATTAAGATCACCCACCATTCTGTCATAATTTATAGATCCTGACGGATTGCTGGGTTAACTTGTTCATATAAGGATCTTTTTTTTTCTTTTGCACTAATAGAGGTTTAGTATCTTTATGTTGAGGCATTTAAATATAAAAACAACTAGACATAACCATTTTATAAACCCAAAAGTTTGTAACATTGTCTAAGCAAGTTTCTTATTACACTTTTTGACACAAGCTCTTAGATTTGTTTGCAGTGATACCTTATGTTTCCTGTCGTTATATTAAGATATAACCTTAAGCCTATTTTAAGTTATTTACTATTTATATTGAGTTAAAAAAGAACCACAGGATGGTTTTGTTTATATACTGAATTGATAAGGAAATCTGCAGCTGTTCCTGTCCTTAACATTTCATGATGTCGCCATGAGAAAAACAGTTCTTTGTTTGGTCAACACCATTTAATGAGATCTAAACCTTGAAATCTTGAAACCAAATAGTAGGAGCTTGAGCTTTTTGTTAGAACCTATGTAAGTTCAAATTTCATTATCTAATTTTCTCAAGATTTCAAATTTCTTGAGTATATTGTGATAAGTTGCATTACGTCTACATAAGAGTTAAAATAATGGCTTTAAGGCAGGATAATTGGGCTTTTTCTGCTCAGTTATCTTAGTTCCTCCAGATTAGTTCATCTTATTTAGCTAACAATTTCAATTTCTCAAGTTAAAATGATTATAAAATTACTTTTTCCTTCTAACTGTGCAATTGTCCAATGATATCTGGATGAGACCCCATTTCTCCATTTTTGTAATATCTCAGGATAATGAGAATATGGGACTTTATTTCTAAAGTGGTAGTATCAGTTTTTTTTTTAAAACGACAAAGTAACATGACCTTGAGCTGACCACAGTGAACAGTTTATCGTCTTTATCTTAAATTAACAAGATTTTAGCTTCGTTTCTCACGATGACAAGAAATAAATCTAAAATTTCACTGATAACCATTTTATTAGACCGAACAAAGATAATATGTGCTTGCTATTACATCTATAGTAAGGATTAGAGATTATTTTGCTTTGATAATGGTTTGATTGTCACAGTAGGTCATAAGTTTTTCATTGGTGTAACTGTTTCATTTTTTATCCCAATTTAATGCATAAATTTATTTTATTATTAAAGATCAGAGAATTATACACTGAGATCACTGCTGTGTAAGATTTTGGTCACGATTTAATTTAAAACATCTCAAGATAACTCTTGAAGCTCATTTATATAGTCACTATTATACTTTAATTATCTCACCATTCCATTGTTTAATAGTTTGAAATAAAAAAATAGTTTTTACACTAAAGTATTAAAGTATTTTACACTTATGCCAGTTTGTGGTAAGAAATAAGTTTTAGCTCACAAAATAAGTAGATAGTTAACTTATAAACTCTGGAAGCTCCAAATAAAAAAAGTTTTGGGTTCTAATACCGTTTTTACACATCTTGTTTGTTTTTAAGTTTCAAAATATCTCTCATTTTCTTTGAGAAAGTTCTTAAAAAGTCACATTATAATTTCCCGGTAAGTCGAGAACTTGCTTATATTTTTTTCTGTCTCTCCTGATGTGGACAATCCTGAAAGCTAATTAAATATTTCTACATTCCTTTAGCCTGTGTAGAAACTCTCCACCAGCGTTCAGAATAAGACCTGGTTAAACTTAACCTGTCAGTGGTAAGCAGTTGTGGATGTTGACAAAAAACATGTGACTGTTCATCACTTTTTAACCTAACAATGCTGCTCAGAATGCGCCCAGGATTTAACCGCCAACGTCCGTGGATCAGACCCCACACAGGATAAAGCTAACAGCGGTGCAAACCTGATCGGCGGGTGTAGGTGTCAGCTGTGAAGCCGAAACGTCCCATTTGACTGTGAGCGAACCTGAAGCTAGCTGAGAAAGCAGGTCATATAATTAGAGCCCCAGCAGTGGGTTCATTCCCGCACCGTCATTCTGAAACCCGGCGACCTTCTCCCGATTCCTGTCACGTCTCCGTTAGGGGTTTGGTATGTGAGATCATAAGAAGCGGTTGGGCTTAAATAATGCAGGGCCACATAAACACCCCCCCAACACACACACACTGAATCACCCACGCTCTCATTCTCACACGTTATATATGAAGGAGAAAAATATATTAACATTTGGGTTACAAAACATTTCAAACAGCCACAGTGTACTAAAACACACCTGGGTTGTTATCTCTTTCTTTACCTTCCACAAAATATATATATCTATTTTTTCAATTACTATTAAAAATATTCCCACTTTTTATCGGGATCTCAGGCACTGGATTTCATCTCCGTACAACAAAAAGTCTCCTCCACCTCTGTGAGAGTTTGTTTGGGGAATGGAAGACACTGAGACTGATGATTTTGATTTGGGGGGGGCATTAAGCCTAAAGATTCTCCCAGCCAACAGCCCTGCTGTCCAGCTCTGTAAAAGCTTCATCATCGGCACATCAGAAACTAAACAGCTGTTTCTCTTTCCCAAAAGGCCCAATCTGGTATAATCAATAAGGGAGCAATGAGTCATTCATTGGTGAGCCTCACTTTAACAGCGATCTGATGGTAATGTGGTGTAAACAGCCTGCTGGGAGAGACTTGGTTGTCTGCACAGTGATCTCTGGTATTTCATCCAAAAAGCTCCTGAACAATCTGTGATAGATCCACAGTAGACGGCCAAGCAGGCTTATTCCGATCCAGAAAGCGCGGGTTCATCTGATCAGTTTCTGTGAATGTTCATGCAGCAGAGATTCTCAGCTCAGTCCACGGGACCTTGGAAGATCAGCTTTGACCAGCCCTGAGACGGGCTGAGCTGGGTGGCACAGAAGGGGCAGGCGGCGTGGAAGGCGTGGGTGCCATGGGGCAGAGGGATCTCAGACCAGTACTTTACCGACTTTTCTGAACACACGTGTCCACAGGGAACGAAGGCATGAGTGGGCGCCCCCGTGTCCACATAAAAGGCGGGCTCGCAGCCCAGCCACAGCGGGACATAGGGTCCCACCACCCGGCACATGGGACATTCTCGCTGGGTGTTGGGCTCCCGCTCGGAGCGATGGCCCCAGTTGTGATAGCCGTGGACGTGGCCACATGCCAAGTAGACCCACGGCTGCTTGTCCTCCAGAGAGGAGAGGGCCCGACTGCGCTGCATGCTGGGAAAGGCGAGCGTGTTGAGACCCACTGGGCACTGAGGCCGGGCTGCGTTGATCTCCTGCCTCAGAGCCTCCAGGTGCTTTTGGGTGGGAGTGTGAAAGAGCCCCTCTGCAGTGCGCCACAGCAAAGTGGCTCCACACAGATCCACCAGAGAGCCGTCCTGCAGGATGTTACTCTCGTTCTCCACCTGCAAAAAGAGACATTTGTTTTTATTTAAACATTTTCCATTCATCTTTTTCACATGCAACCACAAACCTCAGTCTATTCAACTCGTAATTCATGTAACAGACCAACATCATTGTGAAATGAAAAAGAAAATTAGAAATTCACATTATTAAAAAAAAAGGACCTGGATAGGTTTAGAAACATATTCTGTTAGGACTGAAAAGG